CCACCTTGGGTGTATGTGGCTGACGCCTTAGCCGCTTGAGCCACAGGCGCCGAGCCCTTATTGTCCTTTTTTTTGAATCTTTTCTTTCTCATGTTTTCTTCTAACTCTCCAATCTCTTCTTGATTTTAATCTTTTGTTTTTATTAAATTTTTTTTTTATAGTGATGAGATCTAGCTCTGTTGCCCAGGCTGGAGTGTTGCACTTGGTCACCCTGGCTAGAGTGCTGTCACATCATAGCTCACAGCAGCCTCAAACTCTTTGGCTCAAATGATCTTTTTGCCTCAGTCTCCTGAGTAGTTGGGACTACAGGCGCAGGCCACAGTGCCTGGCTAGTTCTTCTATTTTTAGTAGAGACAGGGTCTTGCTCTTGTTCAGGCTGGTCTTGAACTCCTGAACTCAAGCAGTCTGCCTGCCCGGAATTCCCAGAGTACTAGGATTACAGACATGAGCCACCACACCTAGCCCTTTTCTCTTTTTGTTGACAATTCCTTTTTTCTCTTCCACTGTCTATTTCTGTTACTTCTATTTTATAGCCAAGAAGATATACTGTCTGATAAGTTTAACAATGATAAATTGAATTTCTCCAACAAGAGAAAGACCTAAGTGTGAGATATGTGTGTGTATATATATATATATAGTAATTTCAGATTAATATGAGGGTACATATGATTAGGTTACATTGTTTGCATTCTAAGGTAAAGTTCAAGTTGTAGGTGGGCCCTTCATTCGGTGTATACCCTTTCATTGTGCCTGTTAGGTAGGAGCTTCTCCTCCTTCCTTCCCTCTTCCCTTTCCCCCCTCCCTACTCCCCCTTGAATATAGTTGTGTTTCTCTCTTGTGTGGGAGTGTAGTTATTTTCCTTTTGGTTTCTTTTTTTTTTTTTTTGAGATAGAGCCTCAAGCTGTCCCCCTGGGTAGAGTGCCCTGGCATAATAGCTCACAAGAACCTCCAACTCCTGGGCTCAAGCGAGTCTCCTGCCCTAGCCTCCCAAGTAGCTGGGACCACAGGCACCCGCCACAATGCCCG